AGGAATAGTCCAATGAGAATGACCCAACATGGATAATTATGCACTTGGACCTCCTCCGCATCGCCATTTCTTGGCAATGTGTCGAGGTTGACGTGCCGAGAATAAAAGGCATTTCGTAACATTGATCTTGAAAGAAAAATAAGAGTCGTCTCAAGTTCAAGTTGACCATTTATTACGTAGAGTTACCTACGCCGAGTTACATGGTGAGAGAGAGAGAGTTCCTTATTAAAGAGATTGCCAGCCAATGCTTTTAGCTGAGTATGTACATAGCATGCCCAAGGTAACTGGTAGTAGCTCTTTACCCCGAAACCGCTGGAGATAATGAAAATCTGATAAGTGCATTGGATTCCTCGTGCGATTTTGCATAAATGCCGATAATCGATTTTTTTATTTTTGCAAAGCATATAAACAGGAAAAATATTAAAGGAACGCGGGCGGCGATAATTTTTCATCAAAAAAATGGGAAAAGAAATAGCGAATTTGAAAAGTGTGACATGAATTGAACGTGCAGTTTAATTTAGTCAAACGGGCTATAAAAAGGTTCATAGGGACCAACTCGACTAAGTACAGTCAAAGAAGAATTTTTTCAAAACCTCCAAGGACCACACCCACCGTGAAGGCGCTGAAGGACAGAATCCGAAGAAATCTACGACATTCCAACGGAAAATAGCCTCACAGCTGACATTGTTGACGCAGATTATCCAATGAGTACTCGAACTGAACCTTAGGCTTAAGGCTTTGAAATGTGGTACTTGAAACCTCTTGATGTTACCCACAAACAAAGCCCTCCTAAAGAAATGAAGGGCTCTCCTCAAGCGGTACGCACCAAAAAAGTGGAGAAGATTTTTTGTAAAGACGATGAGATTTTGACATCGGAAAAATCTTTTAACAAACGAGTTGACCTAATCTACGCAAAATAGGTCAAAGACATCTCCAAATATAGACAAAAGGTCAGAAAGGCATATTATCCAGGTTTTATGATGGTTTTAGTAGGTGGGAGCAAATTGGGATGATTTCTCTACATTTCATTGAAGATAGGGGGAAGGTGAGGAGATCAAATTTCTTAAAATACGGTTTTAAGTTCGTAGTACATCCCCTCAATGAGATCCAGTTCAATGGAATCGGTTGGACCTCCCAGAAGGATTCGGCATCACCAAATAGTGGAAAAAATGATGCAAGCGTGGCTAAAAAACTAAATTCTGCACTTTACTTCCACTTCGGAATGACCATCACTCTGGCTGTATTTAAATCCCCGGATTATGAAAAATGGTCAAAGTTAGAGCAGAAGGTGTTGTCTAAGCCTCACAGACGTGTAGAAGCTTTAAAAAATCTTTGACCACAGAATGATACAATTTGTCCAAGGATTTCGTGCGTGCACCAATCGAGAACTGTAGGCAGCGTCTTCAGCGCTGCATTAATGCAGGGGGAGGAAATTTGAAAAACTAAAAATTGTTTTCTACTCAGAAATTTACTAGCTTTCCATTAAAACTAACTAGAAGTTTGTAAAGCAAAAACTGTTGAAGCCACAGCGTTTTATTTCACTCCCAGTTAGCTTGGGCATGCTATGTATGCATTTATCCACCTCTCCCTCACTCACTCACTCACGATTAGTATTACGACAAGATTATTGGCCACACACTTGACATTGACATTCAATCTGTGCCACTACTTGTTTACTTACCTGCGGCATGCAATTTATAGGGACGTGTGAGTGTACATACTTATTGCATGCATAATAAAATAAACAAATGCGATAAATGAAAATGTGCCCATTAACAGCCCAACAGCTTTAAGTTTAATAAATTGCGATGCATTTGATACATGAATTTAACCAGCTTTCGTAACAAACGCAAGGGCAGAACAGAATCTTATTCAATTTATCTGAGTCACTTTTGTGGTTATCTATCTCTACTCGAATAAGTTTTCTACTTAATTTTCATAGAAAACAAAACAACGGTGTCATTCAATCGTATGGCGAAATCGCGACGAAAATTCTGCCAGTAATTGTGGGCTTTTAATATGAAATTCGTAATTTTGAGGGGACGCGGATCGATGCCTGGTCCTCCTCCCTCGTAATAAAAAATATACAATTTTGCTGCCCCACCCACCCATTTCCAAACATCTTCCTCCTCAGGACATGGCTTCGTTTCATCGTGTATTTAGCAGTATTACTTATTCGCCTCGTCGTGGTCGTGGTCTTGAACATGAACATGAGCGAGGATGGCTCTTGGTAGGTTTGCATTTATTGAGCACAAATAATCTCGTGTTACTTAATATGTAGGTCGCGAAGAGAGAAACTTTCTAATTCTTGAACTACATAAGACCCACCGACCGACCAAGTGGTGGTAGCAATTTTATAACCATAATGTCTGCCACCACCATGCACCACCACAGTCAAGTCGTTGATTACATTTCTACCTGGCTTACTTTCTCGAGAAGAAGACAACAATATAATGTAATCTAGGTTACGACGACGATGGATGGATGGATGGTGGTGTATGTATTATCGCAAAAATTGAGATAAATTCGACATCATTTTTTGCACAGCACAGCGTCGAGATGAAAGTAAACCTCGGCAGAGGCAGGAAATTGGTTAGAGGGAAAAATGCACCTGTGGTTGGTGGCAAAAGGTTGAATTTTTGCGTGTGAATGTTATGCAGTTTGTGGAGTTATGATGAGCGATGGCTTGGTTTCGTTGGACCAATGGTGAGTCGACTTCCGCTCGCGAGAAGTGAACTTGAACGACTTGGGACTGTATTTACATTTATCATGTATTTGTATGTATGCAGTTAAGTAAAACAAGGTCGTGGCTGGTGCAGCAGCAGCATCGCATTTTTTGTGAGATTATTAATCAATCCTTAAGTACGTAAAGGGTAAGGATTACTTGGATTGGTAAAAAATGAGATGCCGTGTTTTTGTATGTGTGTCCTTATACAATCGGGAGATGAAAAAAATGTTATGACTTAAAGAGCTGTGTTTTTAGGGAAAAATTGGGAAAATGTGTGGTTTAAAGCTACTAAAACTTGGAAAATTTGATGGTTTTAAATTTGAGTATATACGAATCAAGCAGTAGGGAGATCGATTTTTAAGTATCCTCGTTTACAAAAAAGTGACAAAATCGGATCTGAATTTGAAATTGGTTTGAATTACGAAAAACTTGAAAAGTCAAGTATTAAAGTTTATTCATTATAAAAATTGACACATTGGGAATTTTAAATCTCGTTATTGACGAAAAATAGGAAAAAAACTCTTCAAATGTCATAATTTCACGATACTCTGAAAAACTTACGTATTAAAATCTCATCACTTGCGAAAATTTGGAAAATCGTTTTTCAAAATTTACGATTTCAATGAAGGTTGAAACAATTACTTTTTAAACTCTCGTAATTTACAATTTTTTAAAATTTAATCCTTCACGAAAAGTTGGGAAATAGTTTTTTAAAATGTTCTCATTTATGAAAGATTTACAAAACTCCCATCTTAAATATCCTCATTTAAGAAAAATTGACATTATTACTTTTAAAAATCTCCCCATTTACGAATTATTTAAAACTGATCTTAAACAAAAAATAGGAAAAATAGCTTCAAACTGAAGTTCTCTCTCTCTTCTTCAAGAATGGAATTTTTCGCCAACTTTTACCCCAGCAGTAAATAGTTTGCAAATCATTACAATATTTTAGTCGTCCATTGAACTTGACGTGTCTTCTAAACTATTTTTTCGTCATCATCATTTCCGTAATGACTAAATAAGTAAGGTGACGAAAGTGTGTGTGTGTACCCAAACCAACTCCAGTTTTCCCAACCTTGTCGTTGCCTTAAAAGTGATCAGCATTTTTTCCTAATTGCAAAATTAGCCGGGGGAAAGTCAGCCTCGGTTTGCTGACCTATTAATTACAACAAAAGTCTTCACGTATTGGATTTTAAACCTAATTATTCCACCAAGCCAAACTTTCAGTCATTGTTCTCTCTCATAAATTAGCATAAATAGTTATTAGTCATGTGTCCTGGTGGACAGGTCACCTTACAAAAATAAACACAGAATCAATAATAATAGAGCGATTTCTCCATGAAATTTTTCCCATTGTCGATTGTCCTCCATGACGAAGCGCTGGCCATTCTCTTACAAAACAAGGAACCAACAAAATTAGGACCAGCTTTCACTTCCGGGATGATGATGATGCTCTGGACGAAATTTTTAAAATTTCAATTTTTTCATAAAGTTTTTTTAAGTAAAAAGTAAGCAGGAAAGAAAAATGAAATGTGTTAATACCAATTTTTTTGGTAATTAGCTACTCAATAGTTGATAGTTATTATTAGCCAAGTTTAATCACTTATTGTCAAATATTTACCTAACTTTAATACATAAATGTGTATGGATGTATGTATACGTATGTAAATAAGTCATTAACCCCGATAATTTACAGAGTTGAGACGTCTTGAAGTTTAAAATAGTTAGCATAATTAAATAGATGTAGCGACTACGTAGAGTCGTGAAATGGCCAGGGCATGAAAATTTAAGGACATTTTAAGCATGGCATTAATGGCAATTTTTATAGACATCATTGGCCTTATAAATTTAAATAAATGGCTGGTGGGAAATATGGCAAATTATAATACCCTCAGCATGACCATAAATGCAAATTTGGATTTTGGGCACTAAAAAATATGGGTATTTTGGGCATGGCATAAATTCCATGCACATTTACATATGATAACATTTGTCTTATGGAAGCATTAAATACAATAAATGTCTAAAAAATATGGCAAATAAATGGCATCCGCATAAGTACGTATGTACAACTCTAGTCGGCTGTACAGCACACGCATCACATGCATATTAAAATTTGCACTAAACAATTATCATGTCGCGAATGTCATTGCCTTTTAAATTTAACTCACTCGCCATGCATTTAACACATGCCCCAAAAAGCCTCGCCGTTAATGAATTACAAACACAAACATTTCTTGGGATCATTGACTCCAAGAAATTGTTCTCGGACTTTGTTGAAATTGCAATTTATTTATATTCATAAATTATTTAATTGTTGAGCACTTTAAAAAAATTAAGCTACAATTTTCCCATTAAACTTCATACTATTTTCAAATATATAAATATATGTATGTAGTGTTAACTGAATAATTATTAATTTTAACAACAAGTATTTATAATTGTGGATGGTTTTTATTGGCACCAATTTTTAGAATTCTTCACCTTTTACTAGTTTTATATGACACATGAATTACGTAATTGACTCCCAATTTGTGTTGGCGACTTGAAGTTAATTAATTATGGCAATTATTTACGACAATTTTATAAGTAGTTTTCGAAAGAAGTGTTTCGTTTCTTGCGGATTTGCTACACTTCTTGCACCGCAAAGGGAAGTAGTTTCTTGGACCCGAAACACAAACCGTGGTTAAATTAGATTTACTTTTAGCTAATTTCCATTTCGCGTTTGGCTCTGTTCTAATAATTTCGAGCAGTAATTTCCCAACAAATTTGCATAATTATGGGTAATAATCTACTAACTAAAACAAAGTAAATGTATGGCTTGATCTGTCCCAATAAATTATTAAATATATATAAAATCTGCTAAAAATAAGATATTTTAAATTTATGTACATGTCATATTTTCGGTCATCTGAAGCAATTACATAATTATGTAAATAACCTATGTATAATTAAAGCTTTTAAGTAACTAAAGCATAATAAATGCGACATATTTATAATTTGGCATCATCATCATCATTAATTAACCTACTTTAAAATTAACCCATTTAATAAATATACATTACGCAATTTTACATTTTTACCAATCCATTAATGGCGCATAAATTCTGAAAAATACGAAAACAACGTTAAGAAATTTTGCTTAATTATTTATTTTATTTATGTATTTAACTGGACATTAATTGAATATTTATTTAATTGGTTGCAATGGAGGTCTCCCAGTGCATGCTCTCAGATTTGCGCAAACTAGTGTCAATCGATCAAAAATTTAATTATGGTGAACTATGCAAATGCTCAGGTTACATATTTGCACTTGAAGAGGAGAAATGTATTCTAAAATTTACAAATTTTTCAGTTTCCAAATTTCTCCTTTTCAGATGCAAATATCTCGACAAAATCTGCGCATTAGGAGATCGTGCCTTTCGCAACTTTCATAAGTACCAATTAAATTTGGGATCGCTTGACACTTGATTGGCCAAAATCTGTGAGAATTTGCTGGGAGACCTCCATTGTCAGGTGCTACTTTCGCTCACCATCGGGAAGAATTTTCCTCGAGTTTCCAAACGACCCCATTCCAGCTACGGAGTAGAAAATATGCACATCAAAATTTCAAGGTTTCCACTAAATTTCTAGTTAATTAATTACTCAATTGATTAAATCGTGAGTACCTTGGCTCGCCCCTCGATTGCTGCCGTACTGCAACCCGATTATTTTATTGCTCTCGGCCAACTTTTCCGGGGTGAAATTCCTCTTGTTTTCATTCGAAACCCTCACTCCCAGTCGGGCACCGTCAAAGCCATTCTTTTGTGCCTGCCGTTTTCGAAAATATTTTTTTGTAAAATTTCCGAAAATAAAATATATTTTCCTTACCATTCCACCCAACGAGAACAAGCAGTCGACGACCATGTACAAGTTTTTATTCTCGTACAAGTCATTCACTTGAAATAAATCTTGTGATTTCATCCCATAAGTTTCACACCCTTTGAGAAACATTTCTAAATTTTCACGCTGCAAAAGTTACCAAAATTTTGTAAAAATTGAGACAAATTAATAAATGATCAATTTGATTATCTACCTGTTTAAATGGGGCAGGAGACGTGTTAATTTTCTTGACAGCATTTGGGCACAGTTTGTTAATCAATCTGGGCAGAAAAATTCAAGAATTTACCCCAATTAAAAAAATGCACAATTATTTTTAACGTAGGACTCGATAACGCATCACCTAAATCATCAAAATCAGCACAATTTTAATCACTTCTCGGTTGTCGGAATTTATTTTAAAATTCTGGACGACAAATTTCAGTGCGTTGATTGGCGATGAGTTTTTTAAGTCAGTTCAAATTTTTCCGAATGCTCAGTTTTAATAACTGATATCTATTGACACATAAATAAAGGATATCAAATCAAATAAAAAAAAAATTAAACTTGAGATCCCTTTCTTCAAAAAACTGTCAAAATCTGAAGTGCATATTGTTTACTCCACAAGTTTGTCGTCCACAATTTTTAAATAAATTTCCAGAAATGATTAAAAATGTGCTAATTTTGGCGATTAGTCATCGAGTCCTACGTTAATTACGCATAAATGGATGCACTTCTTACTCGCACAAGGCGACGCCGTCCTTTAATTTGACGGCGAAATCGAGCTGATCTCGAACCCCGTCGAAGCCGTTGTGATTCCCGTTGTTGTTATTACTCTCCGAGGTCAGGTTTCGATTGACGACCGCCTCAACCCACGTGACGGCTTCTTTGGCACGGTCCAAGTTAAATTTCGCTTGAGCCTTTCATTAAAAATTTATAAATATTAAGTACCAAATTCATTTAAATAATTATTATGCACATATGAATTTTTATGGTCTACCAACTTTCAAATGGCACTCGCGACTCAGTCCGTACGAAGGTCCGTGATACGCCATTCTTACAAAAAATTTGACAAAAATCCGACTAAAATTTAAGAAATTAAAATATTAACGGGAATTTTTTAATGTAAAATATAAATAAATATAAATTATTAATTTCAGATCATTCCTCTCGTCGATGATCTCTTGTTTAATTGTCACGGACGCAGATTTACAAAAATATCATCACAAAATAGAATTCTGCACAATTAACTTACGATTTATAGTTCTAAAATTCTGGACAATTAACAATCCTTGGTCAATTTGAAGTTGTGTAAATACGAAATAAAAATATTAACAGGATTTAAAAAAATGTAAAATTCATAATTTCAGATCGCTCCCCTCGTCAATTTGTTGCTTGACATGGAACAAAAATTGTCCCAAAACAAAATATCTGGACAATTAAACAAATAACAATCCGTATAGTTAATTTGAAATTAATTAGGAAATAAAAATATTAACAAGATGATTTTTTAATGTAAAAAACTTATATAATTTCAGATCGTTCCCCTCTCGTTCTTTGTTCTTTGACACACTATATAAAAAATTGTCACCAAATAACCTCAGCCAATTAACTCACAATGAGAATACACAGTTAACCTCTCTTCTTGTTAAATTAATTAATTACCTAATAATTCCACCCTCAATTATACAACGAACTATGTCACAAGAGGATACGAAGGTAGGAATGGGGCGACAAAGTCAAAGTCACGTCTCCTACGCGTACTTTTTACTGGTACGGGACCCGACGACACCTTTCTTTCTGTGTCGTGTCAAATGAGCAGAAGAAATCAGAGGCACACAAATTCCTTCTTCCTTCTCGAAGCAAATCTTACTTGTGTACGTACTTAAGCACTTATTATTACGGCGAGATGATTACCTGTTCAGGTGTTACGAACTTGAAGATGCTGATGATGATGATGACCATCTATCCTGCAACATAATTCCACAGTGCCAGTTATGTGGCTGCTTTCCTATTTATTTTGTCTCGCTCGCCTGTCGTCCCACCCATGTCAAAATGTGTACGAAGATGTGAAAAGAAGAAACTGGATTTTAAATCAGGTATTGCAGTGAAGGAGCGAGCATTATATTATAATCGCATCTCGTCTCACCTGCACACCTTCAACCCTCTCGGCGTCTCGTCTCATCTCATCTCCACGTACTTTAGCTGAATAATATCATTATCGGTAGGTATGCCGATGTCGAGGGCATTTATCAGGCCATTTATTGCCCGGTTTTTATCTACATACGTCTTAAATTCCGAAATTTCTGGGAATCTATCCACTCCGAGGGTATTTATGCTAGATTTGCATTATCTGCCCTTTAAGCTTATGTCTCCACAATGATACACAATAATTCATTTCATGACATGCCCAAAATGTCGGGTATTTATTTCCGTGTTATGCCCAGGGATTTTTGCCATTTATGTAAGTTTGCCCGTATTAAATTGATGCCTCAATAATTTTATAAATGGCCAAGGAATTTATGCCATGCATGCCCAAAATTCTGGTTCAAAATTGATTTCATGCCGTGGCCATTGTACAACTCTTCCGAGCGACTAATTTAATGCCTACTTAAGGTCAAACAATATGTTTGTACATGTCTCCTCACGCTTTAATTGAGAGGATTAACAGACGAATCTCGTTACATCATCGTGCCCTCCTTGTAGCATGGAAGCATCTAAGGTTTCAGAAATCACGGTAAATTCTGACTTTATTATGACGCAACATGCATCCAATAACAGAAAATGGGTACGAATTACGTACGTCCTACAAACAAAAATCGTAGGAACTTGACAAGTGTAATCGACCCCTCTTTCGGAAGTGTTTTTCATACACGCCAAGTTTTATTTACTTACTTGGTAATAACGTTCTCACGAAATTTACTACGTCTTTTACAAAGATTACAAAGAAAGAGTATGAACAAAGAAATGGAGGATTCACGTGACATTTGTGTTATTTTTGAAGGGTGGAAAAATTTAGTTGTTTTTCTAGGAGACGTAAAAGGATTTGAAACATCTTTTTCTTGCTTAAACTCGGTCAGAGATCTGCGAAATTGAATATTTGCATGGTCAGAGTTAGCCAGATGGCATGTTAAGTAGCCTCTGACGAAAATGGATGGATTGATGGCCACGCTAAGAGCGTAACCTTCATGTCCAAAATCCACATTGTAACATTACTGAGGAGACGGAACCTCGTCTTAAAAAGGAATGAATTCGAGATCACGACTTCTTTTGGAAGCTTTACAAATATTATGGTCACAAGGATTTGTAGATTATGTTCCATTTTCACGTCGGGATGGAAAATTATGAAAACTTTAATGTAAGTTTGTCAAATCAAGGTTAATTAATTAAAGTTGTAAATACATCATTTTTAAATTCTTAACAATATTACTGGAAATTTTCGAAAAAAATTTTGATAAATTAAAATTTCAAACAAATAATATGTAGTGGTACACTCATCTTAAGACCACATTTAAAATGTGCGTCTTTTTCTAAGTTTGAGATCTGATTTTAACGTTTAATTAATTTTCATAATTTTCCATCCTGACGTAAAAATGTCGACCTAATTTCGCAAGAAATCGAGCCATTGTACAAAAAATATTTTCATGAAGCTACATGCATAATAAGATAAGTCGACATCTCGAATATGAGCTGGACAGAGGCTGCGCCATGGCGACTTAACTTATTTTAGGTTCATATTTCATAAATGAACATAATTTTCACTCCTTGCCGTCCAGAAAACTCGCCCCATTATTCTTTCGGTCAGTTTTTGGGATAAAAATTAAAAATGCGTCAAATTTGCAAGTCAAGATTTGCTTCTAAATTTGCGCTATCAGGAATTGTTGTATTAATAGTTTTTCTATCCACATATCAATGGCTTTTTTCGAGGGATGTCTTATTTTCCAGAAATCAGGTCAATTCTATCGACCGTAAGTAAACTTTACTCAACTTGCGCCATAGCTAAACTATTCACACCATTGGCATAAGTTATGTAGACATGTTTTCATTTGTTAGAAGGGACGAGCTACGTGGAGATTAACTTTGATCGGTTGGACCAGCACGATCCGGAACTGATTCGATACACGAGAACAAGATATTTGTCGCCACCCCCACCACAATATGTGCCATATCGGTTAAATAACCCCAAAAATCCGGAGACCGGGCATGGAAAGTGGGCCAGAAAATTTTTTAAGAACAAGGTCTGATATTTTTTAAGCTAATTTGTATTCCATTGTTTGTTTGTTTGTTTAGCATTTATTCATGTGTTATTTCTCGATCAGTACATGAAATGACTGGTTTTCATCAAGTAACACGAAAAAATAGGAGAAGAAAGATTTAGTTAAACTAAGTCATAATACATACTAAAATACGTGACATTCAAAGCGTTATCGAACATTATTCCTTACAAAACTACTAATTATTATTGTATGCGGTTATTTATGCATCATTATAACGGTTTTTTATGACATGTTCTACCAAAATTGAACGAACATTTCCTGCAGTTTTTGGGTCAGAATCTAAGATTTGATCTATTGTAGCAGAGGACAAACTATTCCATAACTTAGTACTGAAATATTTGACTGAATTTGTGAATAACTCGGAGTTGTGCTGAATCACTTGTAGCTTCTGACTACTACGAGTATTATGTCCGGAGCTATTCACTGTAAACATTGTATTAATTTGGTCAACGGTTGATCCTCAAGTTGAAGTCGCTCATTTATAGATAACAGATTGAATTGTTCGAGCAAAACATTGTAATTCACTTTCTCATGCAATTTTCTACATTCAATTTTGGCAATTTTCAGTTCATTTCTGTCAGATTTACCTTTCCAGAACGATTTGCTATAAAATTTTGTGAGTCGTGGATAACAGAATATAGCTAACAAGTTATTTGTTTTTGCTTGAATTTCCTTAAATGTAACTAAACTAGACGGACCCCAAATTGTTATACAATAATCCGTTGAGTTTACATAGGCATTGATGAGAACAGTTAACATATGTCGTGTTATATACCTTTTAAATCTATGAATCATTCCAATATTTACACACACCCGTTTCTTTACATTTTCAGCGTGATCTTTAAAACTAAAGTGTTCATCGATCCAAACCCCTAGGTATTTATAAGTATTCACTCTACGAATTTCGCTACCATTAATCATAATATTAGAGATGTTATTCACGTTCGTTTTACATTGCTTTTTTCTAATAATCATAAATTTTGTCTTCTCCCAGTTCATTGTCAGTCCTTTAACAATAAACCATTCATTTAGTTTAATTAAAATGGACGCCACCTTTGCATGAACATCCTTTGGGTTAGTTCCGCTGACGACAAAGGAAATATCGTCGGCAAAGATAGTGTAGTAACAGACTTTTAGAACTACATGAATATCTGATAAAAATAGAATAAACAAGTTTGGACCACACACAAAACCTTGGCCAATTCCCCGGTTAACTATGAAGGGTTTAGACATAAATTTACCATTTTTTATCAAATAAAATCGATCTCTTAAATAGTTGGAAATTAGAAGTAACAGTTTTCCTTGTATCAAAAATACATTACGCAACATTACCACTAGTAGGTTAATATTTAGTGAGTCAAATCCTTTCTTCAAATCAATGAATACAACGAAAACTAAATTATTTGGTACATCCAATTCATTAAAAATATTTTGCGAGAAACAAGTTAATGCCGTAGTACATGATCTCCCACTCCTAAATCCGTGTTGATTATCATCAAGAATCTTCAGTGACTCTACTTTTTTCATAAGTTTAGTTTTTAATAAATATTCAAAAAGTTTGCTGAGAGAGTGAAGAGATGAGATGGGTCTGTAGTTACTCGCATTGGTCAAGCTACCTTTCCCCTTATATAACGGTAAGACTGTACATTCCTTAAATTTCTTTGGATAATTGCACGTCGAAAAGATTGATGTAAAAAACATAGCTAGAGGTATAACTAAAAATGGTAAAAGAGGTTTTAACATTTTGATCGGAATTTTATCTGTTGGCGAAGACTTAAGCTTTAATTTTGATATACATTTGGTTACCTCTTCTTTGCTAATTATACAGTTCTCGTTGTCAAATAAGGCATCAGCCTTCACAGAGCTAATGATATCCGATTCTACATTGGATGGGGTATCATTCTTTAATATAAAATTATCGCTCAAATTTTCGGAAATAGTATCCTTGTCAGAAATTAAAACATTACCAACTTTTAAAAATGGAATTTCGCTATTCTGTCTAACATTTCTTCCAATTAAATCATCATAAGTCTTCCAAATCGTTTGAGAGTCTAACTTTGAAAATTTATCTTTGAAATGTTGTCGCTTTTTGGCGGATACACAGTTTTTTACATAATTTCGAAGTTTGTTATACTCTTGTTTGGAATCTAAACTTGGATTTTTATCTAATTCATTTTTCAATGCATCCCGTTTCCTGATTAAATCTAATAATTCGCTATCCATCCATTCTCCAGCATTACCACGCAGTCTTCTTTTACGAATGGGGCACAATACATCTAGATAGCTGAGAATTGTGGATTCGAAATAAAGTAATTGTGAGTCAACATCGCTAGAATTTTCAATTACACTCCAATCCAAATTTTCTAACTCTTTACCTAACATCTGTGCATCAAAGTTCTTAAAAGAACGAAATTCAATTATTTTTGACGGTTTTTTGACTAGCTTATTTCTCTTAACAAAAAATGTAAACCGATGGTCTGAAGTGTTAACGGAGAAGACACCTGCCTGCCTAATTTTATCAGAAAAGGAAACATAAATGTGATCAATAAGAGTCTGTGACGTAAGAGTGACTCTTGTTGGTTCCTTAATTATTTGAATTGAGTTTACACTGTTAACTAAGCTATTTGTACAGTTGTACAGTTGGAGGGGAGTTTTGGATTGAAAACCATTTTTCCTTAAGATTGTCTATTTTTAACCAAATTTGACATATGCGTGACCCAAAATTTATGCCCCCGAAGGCAGGAAAATACTCTTGAAATCCAAAAATTCCCCCTGAAAGCGCATTGACCCCTTCAGACTGCCTCTTAATTTGAATTAAATTTTGATTTCCATATTTTTAGAGGAGCGGGACCTTCCTGGAGGCGGGCGCAAACGAGGGAGAACACCACTCTCACACGCTCTTCCTGGAAACTGACCTCAACTGGACGGGGCTCTTGATCGAGTGCAATCCAACCGTGGCGTCGTATTTGCGAACGAAAAAAAGGAAATCGTGGACTGCCAGCGTTTGCATTTCGACATCAGCACAGCCGAAAATTGTAACATACAAATACTCAAATATGAAATGACCACTCACTATTAAATTAGTAATAATTATCTTTATGGATGGATTTCAGGTGAATTTTTCCAACCCTGAAAAGTGGTCGTACAGTGGGCGTTTAGGGGCCGCTTGGAATCTGCCTATTCCCACGAATTGGACCTATTTTGACGTCGAGACAGTCCCACTTTACACGATTATCGCGGCTGCAGGATTTAAGGAAATTGATTTCTTCTCGTTTGATGTGGAAGGCGTGGAAAGGGACGTTTTGAGAGATTTCCCATTCGATAAGATTCGTTTCAAGGTATTAATTATTTACATGTTCACCTGGAATTAATGCTCTGTAACAATTATCTAGTAGTACGAAAATTCAGGCACATTTTCTGCAGAAAAAATACAGGATTTCGCACGGGTGGGCAAAATACTTTGCCAAAATGTAGCATTTTGAGCCCCATGAGCCCCTCCGTTTTTGATTCCCATGATGTAAAATCCCCAAGATTTTGTCTGTATTTTTTCCGCAAGTACTTTCTCAAGAGAGTTAGAAAATTAATGCAGAGAAACTGTGTAAAACCCTGCGTATTTTCTGAAGAAATGTGTCGATTCAGTTCAATTAGACTGTCTAATTTAGACATGCCAATTTTAATACGTATTTGGATTCATATAATGGTATTTGTATTAGTTATTTATGTATTTTTTTGTTTTAATTTATCTAGTTGATGATCATAGAAGTGTATTTTCTAAACGAGACGGAACGTACTGAATTGGATGAGTTTTTGGACGGGCATGGCTACACGGTACTAGAGAGACAAGTTGATGACCATATTTATGCCCATAAGTCAGTCTTGGCCCAACGTGCACCCCATTCTGGGTGAAATTTGTAAAAATTCAAATAAAAAACAAGTTATTTTATTTATTTTTATGAACACGAAGGATATTCGACAAGTTTTTTTGTACATTAAAAATAATTGGCACATAATAAGTACGTCGGATATGACACGTGACCATATTATGTAAATAGAATCGATGACTTCCTGTCACGTGGTATGGTGGTCTATAATTTCAACAATTACAAAATTACCATAATTATTGTTTAGTTAATCTTCTAAAGTATATTAATAGTTCCTAATTATTATTCTCATTTTAATTGCGGTACAAATTTTTAAGGTTTAAAAAATCCAACCTAATTATCAATTTAATTAAATAGCTTACATAATTATTTTCTATACACTGACCTTTTCCTTGGGTTGGGTGGCGAACAATATACAATTTCTGTCTTTTGAGGACATAATTGGGCAATTATTATACTGCACAAATAATTACATACTTAATGCATAATAATTAATTATTAATTAGTATACTCAATTATTATTATATGGATTCATTCAATAATTATAATAATCACATCACATGAACAAATCAATTAAAATAAAGTATTCCCAAAAAAATCCACCTTCTCTTTTTTACAAATTTCTCATCAATTTTAAATAGGAAATATTTTAATATAATTTACAAGAATTTGAGACAAATGTTAAATGACAAAGAAATTTGAAAGTTTGAAATTACTATTTAAAAAAACACGTAATATATTTCTTCCCATCTCACGTTTCTGAAATAAATCTAAAAATTTTCGTTTTTGACAACGTTATTTTTTCAACCACCAACCTATTATTTTACTTGGGCTTGAGGATTTACTCAATTAACTTGAATCGGCGTTAAAGTTACACATGTACGCAAAATCGTTAAATTTTGCATAAAAGTCCATAAACCCTAAACTAATTGGTAACTTGCGCCATGAATAGTTTAACTATGGCGCAAATACGCCGTTTTAATTACAGAATATCAAAAAGTGTCACAAAATTGTTTTCAAAAAAAGTTAATTCCTCCTCCTCCTCTGCGTGTCTTCCTTCTCTTCGTCATGATGATTTTGATTCCACAACAATAATTCTGCCTTCTCCAACAACTTGTTGCTGTTCCTCGTCCCGTGACGCCAAGGATTTTCGTGTGACGGCGACAACGACGAGGATGGCGTGGGAGGAGGAGGCAGAATTCTCCTCCTGTTCCTATTACTGCTACTACTGCTGCTACTGGACTGCTTAAAAAATTTGGAAAAAATCCCCCTCGACGTGGAATAGCGACACCCGGGGGGCAAATAGTACGCGTAGTGAACCGTCCATCTGCCCGTTTTCAAATTCGGGCAAATGATCATGTGCCGGTGGTAATTATTTGTTCCCGTGTAGTAGGAATAATCCGCCATTTCGTACTCTTCCGGTCCTACAAAGGAGAAAAATTATTCCAATTATTCAATTGCGCCATAATTATTAATAGAGGGCTGATATGTATTTACGAAAAACCGCAAAATGTGCAGGGAAAAAATAATAATAATTTTAATTTCCGATCCGAATATAAGTAATGCTCTCGATTTTTTGTGGTCGAGTTTCTTTGAGTAAAAAAATTCATACAAAGGTGGAAAATTTTCATTTTGAGGGACCCTATGAGATGACCCATACTGATTTTTCAAAATTGTCATATCGAGCTGAAATTTCGTAGAGAGGTTGGTTTAGGAGAGATCTTAATGGAAGAATACGAAATGATTAAACACGGTCGTGGAGATAAGTGCAGTATGAAAACATGTCGACAACTCTGAGGAAGAGATTGTGTCCGAAAATGGTGCAAATCGGATAAGAAATGGATAAGTTATGGCGAAAAAAGATGTGAGACAAGTTGTTGCGGTGCAGTGAGATTTGGCTGAACGGGTCCCCGAAATCTCAGAATCTGCAAGGCCATTGACCTCGTCAAATCGCTTCCATCTCAAAATTTTCTGAGGGACCGTCAGAATTTTGAGATGGAAGCGATTTGACGAGTTCGATTGCCTTGCAGATTCTCACTTTTCATCCACAGTTTCAGCTCAATTTTATTGCTGAACCGCAACAACTCTCAACAAATCTCAAATCTTTTTTCGCCATAACTTATCCATTTCTTATCCGATTTGCACCATTTTCGGACACAACCTCTTCCTCAGAGTTGTCGACATATGTGCGTACACTGCGCTTATCGCCACGACCGTGTTTGAGCACAAATTGAACGAAAAATTGTGAGATTATGACTCATCTCAAGCTCACGATGTTAAAGAAGCCACTATTCATGGTAGTCGAGGGGAAGGATTTGTAATCCTGCAAAAATTTGGTACCACATGGTAGAAAATATCGAACAAACATTTAGCCAACCATCCACCCACACCACGGAGGTTGGCAATATTATGTCGGTCAATTTGAAAACAATACAAGTGGGCTCTGACTCGGTGAATCATATCCCCTCAGTCCCTGACTCGGGCTAAATCGAGTCTGCACTACACTGTCTGTAGGTTTTGTGATCTGCAAGAGTTGGGGGAACACATGCACAAGGTTTGACCGTGGGTCGTCATCGAATGAAAACGTCGAAAATAAGTGCATATCCACCCTCTGGGCGCGAGGTACGTACCATGAACGGTGATGGAGAAGGAGCATCGCGCCTTGTTGCCCTCCGCGTCCCCGGCGACATAGTTGATGTGCGTGGTCCCGTCGGTCATCAGGAGGCCGGGATTGTGACTCTGCTGGACGTAGTGCAGCTTCACATTGTCCGTGAACTTGGGCTCGGACCACCACATTTCTCGCGACGTTTCTCCAGGATTTAGCCGCACTTCGAAGGACGTTGGACACCCTTGAACGCGTGGGGCTTCGAGATCTGGAAAATTTACATGGGCACATTTTATAAAATAATTTGGAGAACACGTTAAGATTTTTGTCTTACCGATCACATGGATTTTAAAGCGGCAGGCCGCCGTGTCATTGGAGACTGGACTTCGAGCCGTAAAAGTGACCCTAAAAGATATTTGGTAACTTGTTTTCGAGTAAATTTTTAAATAATTCTGAATTACTGCGTGTAGCCGGCGGGGACTTCCCATTCCAAATTTTTAGCCCAGGTCGGATCAGCCTCGACATATCTGAAGGGGTCAAAGTTCAATAATTAGTTCCAGAAATAACTAACAATGGAGGTCCCCCAATTCGCAGATAGTGTCATTTGAAAATTTTACGCTAATTAAATTTGTGATCGATTGACACAAGTTTAATAAAACATCTGAGAGTACACTGAGAAAACCTCCGTTGTCCGTTTTTACGTCTCACGAACCTGTACCAATCCATGTTGGCCTGCGGTTGGGGGATTTTGACGTAGGCCGACGCCATCCCCGGCATGAGGTCCACCTTCACATCAGAGGGGCAGTGGATGTAGGGTCGTGGCGTCGCGGGGAGTCGGATGCAGACCGTGGAATCTTCTGGACTCCATCGATACCCTTTCGAGCAGGTCCGCAGCCTCCCATTTTTTGGATAATAACCCACCTCGCATAGCACGAGGCACTGCGTGTTCAACTGAATTCGGTCCGAGGAGGAGCAAATTTCGGGGAAAAGTGTGCCAAATTCGGGTTTCGACAGGGCCGGACAACTCGACGCGGTGCAGGCGACGGTCTCCTCGTAATCGGCGGGACTCCACGTGCCATCGCCGGAACACGTGACATATTTTGAGTTTGAGCCCCCCAAACTTTTGACCTGCTTGCCAAAAATGGTGGTCTCGATTTCGTTGAGGAGTGTTAAAGAGAAGCCGGGAAGACAGTTGACGCGACATTTCGTCCCAGACCGGAAATAGCCGTCGGTGGATAAGGTCGTGGTTCTCAGAGTGTCGTGGTGTTCGCACTCCCAGCCAGATGCGTTCACGAGGAGGGGAGGATCCTGACAAAATTCGGCTAGAAATTGACCAAAATATTGAAGATACATGTAAAAAAAATTATGGAATTTTGCAATTATTTTGTTAAAAATTCGGCTAAATTTTTTAGAAATGATAAGTTAAGTCAATTTGAAATTATCTTGACAAATAAAATTTCGAATGATACTTTCAGAAATGTGCAAAAAGAGCAATTCTGAAATTGTTTTACACAAATTAATTACATATTATCTAGAAATTGCATACAAAATCGGCTATAGACGTCCGAAAAGTTCAGAATTATTGCAATTATTTATTTTGCACAAATGAATTAATCTTGCAACTATTTTTAGTCCAAATTGCACATACGTTCACAAATGCGTTTATCCTCCTTGAGAACGTATCCCGGTTTACATGAGCAGAAGAAAGTGCCCGGAATATTGGTGCAGTCCTGGTCACAGCCCCCGTTCTCCGTGTCACACTCGTTCACGTCGCGACACGCCGTCCCATTCACGAGTTCGTACCCCTTCCGGCAAGAACAGACGCGGTACGAGTCGGACGTGTCGATGCAGATGTGGTCACAACCCCCGTTCTCCACGGAACAGTCCGCATGCTCCACGCAAATCAAGGAATTCTCGGAATCCAGGGCTGACCCCGGAGGACAGTCGGCCACCAGGGTGTTGAGCAGCTCGAGATTTTCGGGGGGCTGGTCCTCCTCCTCTCGGGGTGGGAGTGGGGGTTGAGTGGTAGGCTCAGGAATTTCTTCGGAAATGCACGTCTTGTAATTCTCCGCGGACAAGGCGAAACCTTTCGGACACGTGCAGAACGCAGTGCCAAACGTGTTCAGACACCCATGCGAGCAGTTAAAGTTGTTGGTGTCACATTCGTTGATGTCTTCGCAGGAGTGCTGAGCCAGAAATTTTCAAAGTTTTTAGAAATTCAAAATTTTATGAAATAGTTTATGCATTGAAAAAATTCTCGTACTTTATCTGATCCTAGTTTCGTGCCAGGAGTTCGTTCACAGGAGCAGGTGTAACTTCCAGGCGTGTTTTCGCAGCCGTCCTGACAAGGTCCGTGCCCGTTGCGGAGGAGGCATTCGTTCCTCTGCGTTCAATTGGCACGTGCAAAATTAATTTGCACGTATATAATTTTGCAATGCATCTTCTACTTACATCGATACATGTTTTCCCATCGGGGCCGACCTGATGCCCGGCGGGGCAGTAGCATTGGAAGGAGCCGGGCTGGTTGAAGCAGATTCCGGTGCAGCCCCCGTTATCGGTGAGGCACTCGTTGATGTCGACGCAGGTGGAGGACGAGGTCATCTCGTAGCCCGAGTAGCAGGAACAGACCACGCCCGACTTGTTGTCCCCCTCCGACCCGTGGGAACAGATCTGGTCACATTTTATGCAGTCGGACTCGTCCAAAGTTCCTAATAATTATTCATGTTGATAAAATTCTGGTGTAAAATGTTTTAAAAATACGCGTAATTTCCAATGAATTACTCCCACAAAAGGTAAAGCATTTCAATGTAGTATTTCATGTTTTGAAATTGCTCGTAATTTTTGCAGAATTTCTCGTTTAATTAATCATCTCATAAAAGAAGAATCCCATTTCAATATTTCCTGATATTTGAAGTTCTCTCCTAATTTTTCATATAGAACATAACTTTTTTAGTCCTCTTTTTTATTTTTATTTAATTTGCGTAATTTCGGCACCGGAAAACATGTTTTAAAGATTCTTGTGGTTTTCATTAATTTTTCGATTTAATTTAATAATCGTGTCACAAAAAAGAGTAGCATTTCAATATTTCCAAGACTTGTCTTTCTCACCCAACTTTTCAACACAATCATTTTTTCCGTACGGAAATATAAATCTTGTCCATTTTTTAAATTGTTAGCTGCACCACCGCACCGTGGAGCATGTTGCTCTATTATTAAACTGTCGCTGAGATTATTACCTGAATAATTATTCTTGTTATAAATATGAATAAATGCCCTTCAAAAAGTGGTGTAAATTACGGAAACCTCGTCTCACCTTTGGCGAGGCAGACGGGTGTCGGTCCCACCCACTTGTTTCTCGAGCAAAACATCCTACAATTTTTACGATAAATAAAGTTACACTATATTTTTAGTGTATTTTCAGTCATAGGATTTTTATTTTACCTGTCGGACGATTCCAGAGGGAAATCATAGCCTTCCAAACATTCGTATAACGCCATCACGTAATAATTCCGGTCTCGCGAGCGGTTTCGTCGCCTGGAAAAAATTAGACTTTCATTTTTAGATTTCAAAACTATTCACATTTTGCGATTTAGTGTTCTCGAGATTGATTTGCGTAAAAAATATACCCAAAAATTTGAACTATTTCAAAATTTAAATAAAATTTGTATCTCTACCCGTTCAAAAGATATTGAAGGTCATAGTTTGATCGAGATGGAATAAAACAAAAATTGGGATTTGGGAAACTTTGATCATAAATAAGTTATCTTTTGAACGGGTATAAGTTCATTTTATTTTTGAAAGTATCCCACTTTTTAGGAAAAAATCTAGGCTCGAGGACTACGTGAAGCACAAGGCTTTTAGGAACTTGAGGAATCACTGACCTCGTATATTTGACGACACGGGCGTGCGAAACGGCGGGTGCGGTCAAACCACGACCCTCCCGTTTGACACAGGTCGTATCAAATTTGGAAAAGTCGAGGCGGAAATTTCTCAGAAATTTGAGAATTCTCTTCTTCTTGAGGTTGGTGGTGGTGGTGGTGTCGTCATCGTGGTCCCGATGTCGGGACGTGCTCATGACCGTGCTGGATGGGAAGATGGGAATCTCGTTCGCCGTAGTGCCCCCACCTGCGGAAAAAAATTGTATGAAGAGAGAGATAAGCCCGAGTCAGGTGACACAGAAGAATTTCATAATTTCAAGATACATTTCTTTTCAAAAATCGGCGTGGGTCACGTGGAGCTGTTTTTTTTACTGTGTACACAAATTCTGAGGTAATTGTGACCCCACCAGGTCATAGGTCAACCAGTATCAAACCTATCTTTGAATTTACTGTCCACGTCAATCAACAGTTAGACAGACACGACGGTTCAATAAGGCCGAAAAAAGCAGGATATATTTTTCATACAGAACTGATGTTCTTAAATGCAAAAAAATAAGTAACAATAATAATGCATTGGCGACCTCACTGGGTCATAGGTCAAGTATCTTTTTTATTTATTTATTATTCCAGTCAATTGATTTCAATCTAGACAGACGGACCGACAGACACTCTGATTCCATAAGCCTCATCTTAAACAAATAACTTGGTATCACCTCACATTAGAGGGAGAGCTGTCATCCCATCACTCGTATCACTCGTAGGAGACCCTTGTCTTGTCTCCCTTCTAGGCTTAATTAGCATTTTAAGTTCAATCATTGTCACACTGACATGATTGTCGAGACGGGAAAAGTCTGGTTTAATCAGTGAATTGGGTGGATCCCAGGCCTGTTTTTGAGGTAAAAATAGAGTGTGTGTGGCTTGGGCCCTTTTTTAAGGCTTGATTAAGACGCGATGGTGGTGGTGGTGGTGTACAAAAAATCGGAAAGGGTGAGACTTGCGTTAGAAATTGGGCTGCATTGAATTTTGAGATAAGAATCCTGAACCAACGAAATTACGTATGCATAAAAAATGCACGTACTCCACCCCACAATTATTCGGGTTTTGAGACAGATTGAAAAATTGAGACGAGTTGGGTTTGATTTCTAACGAGACCCTTAACAAAATAAGAAGACGAAGGAAAGTAAAAAAAAGTAGGTAAAATTTCACCTGGTTCAAACAAAGGTAAAATCTGAAAGTGATATAAAAGTGATATAGCCAGTCGATTTTATCGTCGTTTACGAAACTGTGTGAAATTCGCTCAAAATTACACACTTTTCAGAGACCATTTATTTCTAAAAAGATGGGAAAATTTTCAGCAGAGCGATTTCTGATTTTGCTAAACATTGATGCCAAAAAAGATATATTAGGTCCTCTCAAAGCTCTAAAAAAGAGCAGATTTTTCTGCTCATCGCTCATTCTGATCTTTTGTGCTCGGCTGTGCGCATGCGATTTCGCTCAAAATCAGATTTTCTTGCTCAACAAAAAAATCGAGTTTTGGGTTGATTTTTTCTCTCATAATCCTGCTCATTCTGCTCCACATCAGCAAATCAGTTGTTTGTTTACTTCAATTTTTGGTTTAAAACTTAAGTAAAGTTTTGTAAAACATATTCTTTATCATTATGGGTCCCAAGACCAAGGTTAAGAGTACCAGTGTCGAAAATGTTGTAAATCCCGTAATTTGTCGTAACAAGTGGAGGTAGGCGGCCGAAAAACATTTCGCTGGACACCACAAATAAAAATTGACATGACAAATTATGTCGTCGACAATAACACCGCATTTAAGGTAAATTATGATTTGTTATCCACATGTAATTTTGAATGACCAAATCCTTAATCGCAAAAAAATGTTTGAGCAGGTGACCAACCGCACTGAATTCCTTGGTCGTCTCCAAGATGCTTTGGCCCTTAACTGCGAAGAAAGTCAAATAAAAATGGATTTGGCAGATTTCTTAAAACGTACACAAAGACTAAAGAGAAGTTAAACCAGTCGGGTTTTGGGATTGACCCTCAGAAAGACGAAACTCTGGACAAAAGTGCGGTCATTTCCATCCATTACATGAAATCAAATGATTTTCAATGCGATAAAATTACGATTCAGCGAAGCCACTGGAACTCAAAATTCAATTGGAAACTATTAAATCTAAATTTTAGATATTTGACTTATAAAATTGTTTATTGCTGCTACATAAAATGAATTATTTGAGATAATGCTGTTCATTAATTCTCCTGCAATATTTTCACAATGCGTGTTGTTGAAACCCATTAAAAGCCATGCTAAGACCACAATGATAAAAATTCTCATATCTCTTGACGTTCAGTTATTTTCGGAATTTTATGAATTATGAGACTGAATTTACAACCATGAAAATGATAACAAATAATTGAACTTCCACAAATAAAGATCACGATTCTCAAGAATTATGATCGATAAAAAAAGTGGTACGTTCAAGGCTTGAGCAGAAAAATCGGATTTTTTATTTTTCTGCTCATTGCTCATTTCGCTCATTTTTTTAGCCTTGAGAGCTCCTATTATCAAAGTTTATTTTAAAATACTACTTCAATAGATGAGGATTGTTGGAACCCGATACAATTCTGGCTAAACTGTTTCCACAATTTGTTTTCTCACATGCAAAAGTCCATGCATTCGGCGGAAGTGAGAGTAAAAATGCCAAAGTCTTGTCAATAAATCAAATAATATTTCCCTAAAAGTCAGAAATCGACATGTTTCAACTGAAAATTTCCACACAAATAAATTCCGCACATTTGTGTAAATATTGTGACAAATTTGGCTACAGATGACAGATTGCCTTCAAATATATAGGATATTTTCCTAACTTTAGTTCAGAAGCTACTCTTGCAAGTACATACATTCTTGAATTTAATGAATAATTTTCCATAAGAAAAACTGTCCCATTCTTCTCTCAAATCCAAAAATATCCCGATACGAACTAACTTTCCTAAAAAAATTATTAGTTTTTATCAATTTTCCAGTATATCCAGCAAGAATAATTTCAAATTTACAGACAGATGGACATTACATTTACGATTCAAGAAATCAGTATGCGTGAAATTCATTACAAATGCTGTACCTATTTCGAAACCAATGTTTTGACAAAGGTAGATTTAAAAAAATATTTTTCACATTTTTGATGTAATTTTTCCACCTAAAATTTCATTTCTACAAACACACAAACTGACACACAAACGGATCACGATTACATACTTAAGACCTCTCTCAGGATAAAAATATATCCTTATTTTCCCCAAGTTACAATTTTCCCGTGGTTCTCAAAGACCACAAAATTCATAAAATTCCACCCCAAACCGTCCCTTTGACACGTTTCATATTTCCGTGGGTGACGTTATCTTGATAATAAATTGACATTTAGAGGCATAACGTTTCCTGATAAAAGCATATAAAAAAGCCTGAGCCGCAGATGGATCTCAGCACCTACTGGTGGAAACCTAGGTCAGTAATAAAATAGCAGCAGCCGTTTAAAAAGCCCTTAAAACTGACCCCCGTCGCGTTTTTCATCATCATTTTAGAAATATTATTATTAGATGGATGCAACCTGGATGGGACTGAAATCCGGACTTTGTGCGCACCTTTCGTTATTCCTTTGGTTCGAGTGGACCTTTTCATTACGTAAGTATCATCTTCGTCATAATGGGAATAATAATGGTGATCGTGACCCGAATAGAATGGAAATCTCGTTTTTTTTTTGTGGGGAATTTTTATACGGAATGGGAATCAGGAGGAGTAAATAAAGTAGCATCATAATCGTCAACCTTCTTTAAAAATTGTAAATGGGATACTTTTAGTCACAAGGTGAAATATGGCATCTGATTTTCAAGCGGTTGACAATAGAAAAAAATATCTAAATATGATTTAGAAAATAGATAAATTCACAAAAATTCAGAAATGGAATTATGGTTAAACATTTTCAAAAAATATTAACTTTTTTTAAGCCGAAAACAATATAAACTCAGAATTAATTAGAAATGGAACGATTGCATAGTTTAACCTAGGACTAGCTGACTCAAAATCAGCACATTTCCAGAATTTAGAACAGATTAGGCGAGAAAAGATTAAAAATGTGACGATTTTGGCGATGAGTCATCGAGTCGTGTGTTAAATTATAGGCACATATTTTAAATAAGTAACATATCTCCTATGATTTATCATCTATTCGACACATCAAATTTTTCTGAGATCCAAATTATACCCAAAAATAACAAAATGTTATCCTAAAACCACGTTACAACAATTAAGGATAATCTTGTCCTTGCTAATGATCCATAATTTGTCACACACGTGGACCACTGACAGTTGATGGATTATTTACTTTATTTCTACAAAAATCGGAGGACGGATAATTGAGAAAGGGCATCTCTGATTTGCTCAGAAACCATTTTTTTGAAGGAAAATGTGCCCATTTCATGTCATATATTTGCCTTTTTCGAAACCATTCATCTTTCATTTCATTACAATGTGTGGTTTGGTTTCGTTTCTTGTTTGACAATGGGATTATGCTCTCTCGCACAGAATGGAGATGGATAGATCATTATTACGTAATAAAACTTTTGTGCGTAAGTATAACGAGCATCGATGCATTTATTTTGTATGGGTTTTTTTGTGCTTTTTATTTATGTGGAATGCAAATGGTGATAATACGTATCCATTCAGCAATTGGATACGATTCATTACGGTGCGAGAAGGGCCCGATTTAAGAAATCATAGAGCCCTTTTGTGGTTTAATGTCGTACGCAATCCGAGTGTGCCGTGAAGCTAAACTTGGAAAAAATGGTCTCCTGATCTGTAAATAAAAAGCCCTTGGTACATACGCAAGGTTTCAGAAGTTCTTAATAAATTCTGCCCACGTATTTTATTTCGATTAGAAAAAGAACGGTTCAGAAATTATTATTTATGACAAATTATAATTAGCAGACTTTCCCACCACGAGGAAGGAATATAAATGGAAACTCTGCACCTGGAAATTTTTGATAAATGTTTCCATAATTTGTAGACATTTCCACGCCATAAGGAAAAATTTGAGAAGCAGGAAATTTTACATGCATGCAAATTATGTATTTCATGACTCAAGAATTGTTATCAATAATTGATGATGAATTATTTTCCACTTTGTACATTTTCCCACGATGATTAAATATGAGCTCAAACTATCTGCACCTGCAATTTTTTCATAA